TTCCCTTGGGCATCTTCTAAGCAGGATTTCGGACTGCTCTGTTCTGGCCCAGGTAGGACACACTCCCTTTGTGGACACCTGAGGGTCCTGAGGGATGGGACACCATGTGGTGTCTTACTGGCCTCTGACTTCCACCAGTTGTTCCGTCACTCAGTGTGTTGGGGTCTTGCTCCGCCATGCCCCAGCTGGGAGGCTAGGCTGGGCAGTTAGCATGAGAAAGAGAGGAACAGGGCTGGATTTCAGCAAATGTTTTCCTCTCTGACACTGAGTCTGAGAAATCCATAAGGCTGGATAAAGTCTAACAAAGACTCTTTGCTTGACCAAACTTCGATCAAGCTTCTGAGCTTTTCTCCCCGGCCCATCTGCGTAGGTCTTTGTAGAGAGCAGTTTTAGCAAGAACACTGCTAAATTAGTTTTGTTTCCTATCCTCCATATCTGATCATCCTTGATATCTCGTCAGATTCTTCATCCCGCCACCACCCCAAGCTGACGTCTGATCGCCCTGTCTGATTAATATCAGCAGAATCTTATTTGGTTGGTTTACCCAGAATCCCCTTTATCCTAATGTTTCCTCTTAGTGGTTTTCTACCCGCTGACCTCCCCACCCTGCTCCTCGGCTGGAAGTTCCCCCTTGCTCATGCTGTATTCAGCATGAGCAAGGTTCCACACAGAGGTCTCTTTTTCTTATTGCAATAGTTCTGCATAAAATCTGTTTTGACATTACTGTCCAGCTGTGGATTTCCTTTAACAAAGCTCATCCTTTTCTTCCTTTTATATGAAAGCATCACTGATGATTCGAAAAACCCACTTGCTTTAAACACTTCTTAAATTACGTGTTTGCATGTTTAACTGACTTTTGCAACCAAAAATAAATATTACAATTATTGTTGTTTGGCAAATTTGTTTCCACTTTTCAGAAGGCTCACGTGACATGATTTACCCACTGTCAGAACATGTGTTTGCTTTTATGTAAACAGGTATTTTTTTCAGTTTTTATTTAGGTTGTATAATCTAGAAAATAATATTTTTTAATTACTAAATGTGAATTGTCTTATGCTATTAAACCAATTCCATTTAAACATATTTTCTCCTAAATTACATAAAGCACACAAAAATGAGATTAGAAGAAAACGTTCAGGATTTGAGTAGCTTAAATATTGCAGAGCAGTTCCAATCTGCCATGACAGGGTGTGTGGTCAGCAGATGTGTGTGTCCTCTCCCCAAGTAAGCTGTGAACCCATTCATCATCCTGTCTCACTTTCGTTTCCCCTGATGACTTTTTTAAAGCTATGATTGCAAATATCTGTGCCATCCACGTGCATTTTTAATCCTATCCAACTGAAAAATTATTTGAAAGCTACCAAATTCCAGGCATTAAGTGTTTAAGGAGTGAAATGATGAAAAACAAAAGGGGAAAAGTAATTCCACCTTCAAGGAGTTTAGAGTAAGCAGAATGAGCCTGACGGGAACAGAGAGCTGGCTCCTAGAGGTATTACGATGGTACCAAATGAAAAGAAGCAAGTGAAGGAAGCCACAGTGTGATGAAGGAACGGGGGCTGGGGAGTTAGGAACTGCATGGGGAGATGGGGGGTCTGGATTTCTCAGGTTTAGAGACTGTTTAGTTTTGAGGTCAACAAAGATAAGGAGGAAAGACGTTCCAGACAGGGGGGTCAGTGAGCCCACAGATAAAAGACGTGGGGTCTCCTGGTATGTGAGCATCCTGAAACTCTCAGTCTACCTGAGGGCTGAAACTTTGATCTTTAGGTCCTAGAAACCCAAAGTGTTCGGAAGATGGCTATGTCACAGCCGGTGTTGAATCCTCCTGGAATTCCTGCTTCATTTATTGCATTCTAACCACCACTCTAAGTTCAGTATTGGCTAGAATTTGAGTAGTGAAACATCGTTATTTACCCAATATTTTGTCTCCTGTGTACCAATACAAAGAGACAATCTAAGTTATTGTTGTGAGTATGCTTAGTAGCCTGTGTTAATTTGTTCTGAAATGCTCTGGAGCTTAGAGCAGAGTGAACAGCACTTTTGATGAACTTGCTTTACTAATAACAGTCCATGGGCATATTTTATCATCATCTTGCAAGATTAAGATGATTACTTTAAGACTGGGAAATAAAACAACTTTCATTTGAAGCACATGCTTGTTTTCCATTTGAAGCAAATGATGACTCATTTTCAATTTTTAATCCTGAGCGGTGATGAAACTTGAAGTCTTTAAGAAGAATCTTATTTTATCTCTTTTGAAAAGAAGGAACCAATGATAGAAAACAAAAGCATATTCTGTCCATCTCTTCATGGTGGCCCTAAGTGTATTCTACCTTTTAAGTACCACTGTTGCAAAACAAATAATTAACTTTCATTATACTGCAACTTTCCATTTGAGATATAAAGCAATATATATAAAGCAACAGACAATATCAGCAGTTTGATTTTCTCAAAAGAAATTATACAATCCAGCAAGGAAATTCAGCAGTATTTTCTACACTGGTGCAGGAAAAAAAAAAAAGAAAAGCCTGCACTAAAATTGCAAGAGTGAAAACAAATAATTGAGATTTGCATGAATGATTAGCATACCCTGTATACAAATCTCCAATGTGTCAGTTCAAAAAATTTTGTTTGTTTTAAAAATGGTGTAATTATAAAGATTTTATACAGAATACTGACTTGTTTCAATTGAGGAAAATGCAGGGAAGTGATTTGTAAGTAGAAGCCTTTTATGGTTAATTAACTACAGCATGTATGTAGAGGAAGAGAGAAAAATGGCCACATTTACATTTACTCATATTGATCTAGTTCCTATTTATTTATATTGTATAACGTCTTCCTTTCAAACTAATAGAACAATGTGAAAACAACAAGGAAATCTGAAACACACATACTATGAAATCAAAGCAAGATGTTCAGTTCCGTGCACATCCCCCAGGCGCATCAGTTTTAAGGTGTGTATTCACGGCGTCCACAGGAATTCAGTTTATAGACTTTTCTATTTATAAGGAGCCCAAGGTCGCTAGGATATTAAGACATGTCCACAAGTTCTTACAGTACAGACCAAAAAATAGAAGTTGAAGACTAGATTATAAAAGCAAGACTTTTACTTCCAAAACCATCCGATGAAGGAATACAGAAGTGCAACTTGGATTTTTATTGTTATTAGTAGGTTAACTCTCCCACTGTTCTATGCTGCATAAGAAAAAAAAAGGCAGTTTTTCAGTGCTTTGTTTTTAATATACACTAATGTCAGCACACACCAAAAAAAAAAACCAGAGAATGGAGGAAATCCTTAGAATTCTCAATTTAGGCAAGATGTGCATACAGTAAAAATGGCAACACGACCCTTACTAGCAATCGACATGAAGACAAAGCCTCACTCACATTCCCAGCCACCAGAACGATTAACATGTGTTTCAACTTTTTTCAGTCATGACTCCAGTTTGTAAATAGACAAACTGGACATAAATAGACAACCAAGGTCAGTTGCTCCTTCGTGTGTGTGTAGGTGATTATGAATGTAGCAAATCACTGGTTCTTTTACATTTTTTATAACAAGCAGACTTGAATAATTTTTATCATTTCTGAGACAGGAAGTAATAAGGAAACACATTTACCTTAGTAAAAGGAATTACTCAAAAGAAATTAATAAGGCAAATCTTGATTTTTACAGTTATTGGAATAAACATAATAACTTAATTCTTTCATACCTGTAAGTATCAAGATTAATTGAGAGAAAATGTCTTTGACATAACGAGATACAGGAAACTAATGAGCAGTAAGACATAAACTGTAAAAGATAATTTTAACTCTAATGAAAATATGATTTAAATGGAAATTGCGTAACATTCTGTTAGAACTCATCAATGACCAGCCAATGGTAAAGTTTATGAGAAATGTCTATCTCATGTATTGCATTTTTATTTCTTTTTTAGAGTTGGCCAAATAATTTGGGTAATTAAGGACCTAGGTTCGGGTTTTTCATAGAAATGAAGCCCTTAATCCGAGGACTTGAGAGCTAAGCCAAGATCATTGTTTTCCAGGAGGGCACAGGCCAGGTTCTCACTCTTGCTTTGAGGCTTGATGGCTAATTTGGGAGAACCCATCTCCTAGCAACGGTGTTTTCTGCTCTTTCCATTAAAAACAGAATACTTTGAAAAACAAGTAAGGGTACGAACTATAGCTTTCAATTAACTAGGTGGTGTTGCGTACCCTTACCATCCTTGGCTTTATGGAACTAAATCTATGAAAATCATAACAACTGAACACTGAGCATCCCGGTTCATGGAAAAGCCAAGATTTCACACTACCTTCCTGCAGGGTCTGCTAAGGTACACTCTGTTGTAATGATACCATAATACACTCGCAAAATTTAGTTCACAAAATTAATTTATATGTTCAGGAATCCTCCGACACTCTACACTGGGAAAATTACTGTTCGTTAATTTATCAAGTGTTTCCAAGCCTCAGCCCCAGCCCTTCCATCTAATGCACATAATCACCCAGTCAAGCAAGATTCACAAACACATGTTCCATTTTTTTTTTAATTTGGGGGGTGGTGGTAATTAAGTTCTTTAATTTATTTATCTTTTTTTTTTTTTAATGGAGGCACTGGGGATCAAAGCCAAGCCCTCGTGCATGCTAGGCAGGCGCTCTACCACTGAGCTACACCCTCCCCACTGAATGTTCCATTCTTTAAAGATTCTCAGGGGAAGGAAAAATGAGACCTTACAAATTTTAAAATTCTAAGTTCTATTTACATAAAATAAATGCGTATAAATTCTTTTAAGGGCAGTAAACTAAATTCTCAACTTCCTAATCTTATGCCTCCTTCCTCTCTTCTTGGGGAACTCCTAATATCCTTGGGCAACCTACTCTTGATTTTTTTCCCCCTTAGGGCATAAAATTTTATTGGCAGCTCAGGGGGAGAGCCGGAGAAGGGTCCCTCCCCTCTTATGCCCCTACCCAGGGGAATCCCTCTGCAGGAGGGCAGGGAGCCCCAGGGGCCACTGGACTCAGAGGGCCTTGGGCAGGGACAGGTGGGTGTGGAAGGCATCCTGGCTCTCCAGCAGGTGCGGTAGGTGGCGATCTGCTTCAGGCAGGACTTGATGTCCCTGAGCTGCTGGTACTCCTGGTTCTGCTGGTTCTGCCACTCATGTCGGCTCGCAGGTCGCTCAGCTGGGCTTCCAGGCCGCTGATCAGTGCCTGGCTCTGTGCCGGCTGGGCTGCGATGCGAGCCTCCGTTTCTGCCAGCGGGCCGTCCAGGGCGGCTTCCACGCTGAGCTGAGGCTGCAGCTCGATCTTCAGACCCTGGAGGGTGCGTCACAGCTTGGTGGCCTCCGTCTTGCTGATCTGCAGCTGCTCCGTGTGGCCAGCGACCTCCTTGTTCAGCTCCTCGGTCTGGCTGGTGAACCAGGCCTCGGCATCCTTCTGGTTCTTCTCAGCCGTGGCCTCGAATTGGCTTCTCGTGTCACTCAGGATCTCGGCTAGGTCGATGCCCAGAGCGGAATCCACCTCCACGCTGACCTGGCCGCCCACCCACCTGGCCCCTCAGGACACTGACTTCCTCCTCGTGGTTCCTCTTCAGGCAGGCCAGCTCTTCCTTCAGGCCTCCAATCTGCGTCTCCAGGTCGGTCCTGGCCAGGGCCTGCTCCATCTCGAACTTGGTTGGGAAGTCACCTGCAGCCAAATGAGCATTGTCGATCTGCAGGACTACCTTGGAGTTCTCAACGGTGGCACCAGGAATCTTGTCCCGCAGGTCCTCGATGGTCCCAAAGTAGTGGCTGTAGTCGCGGGCGGGCCCGGGCCGCTGCTCCCGGTACCAGTCGCGCATCTTCACCTCCAGGTCGCCTCTGGCCGTCTCCAGGGCGCGCACCTTGTGCAGGTAGGAGGCCAGGCGGCCGTTCAGGTTCTGCATGGTCGCCTTCTCCTTGCCCGCCAGCAGCCCGTCGGAGCCGGCCAGGGGGCCCGCATAGCCAGCGCCGTGGCCCCCAGAGGACGGACGAGGTGGCCTACGCGTGGCCATGGCTGGAGGAAGTCACAGCGAAGCAGGATGCAGACGACACTGGCCGGAGCTGCTGCGGGCGGCAGGAGGAGCCCTACACTTGATGGACGGATTTTTTACTAGATCTGATCCGTTTCCATTCTCCTGTGAACTCCAGGCTCTGTGTTCCGGAGAAGCCATCCTTCAGAGCAACCTTTAGATACAGCCCATCATTTCACTTCTCAGCTTCTAGCACAGTATCACAAAGGAATTAGTCTTATTCGTAAATACCAATTTGCATTCAAGGGCCGCATCGCTCTTCCTTCCTCCCTTCCTATTCTGCCCCGGTGCCGGCTTGGTTAATCATGTATGTCAGTTAACAGCCCCCAGATATCATGCGCCTGGGCGTCTATCTGCCTCCTGTCTACACGTCTCTCAGTCTGCCCAGTGATCTATCTTCTTTTTCCTCTATCTCCATTCTGTTCCTCCCACCCAGAGCAACAGATCCATATTTTGATAAATGCTCTTGCATATGAATGCATCTCTCTGTTCAATATGCTGTTTGGTGTGTATGACTGTTGCATTTGCCTAGATGTTAGCTGCATTCGCTGTTTACTTTCACTTGTGACTTCTTTCCACACAGCCTTTTTCAACACGGAATTTTTAAGCTCTATCCTGTTGCTACATTTATAGTTCTCTTGTCTTCAGCTGCTACATAGCGTTCCATAGCATCCTTCCATCACACTTTATTTATCTCTTACAGTGGCCCAGATGTGACCCTCAATTCCCCACTGCTGTACACGCATCACCACTCACCCACCATCCACACACAAGTCCCCTTATGGACCTGCTTTCTACAATATTCTCCCAGAAATGGATTTGGGGGCCAGGAGACACACACAGCTTAACCTCAGATTCCTTTCCAGAATTGCTGTGGAGTTTATATTCCCACCAGCAGTACATGAGATCCAGGTGTCAGCCATCCTCACCAGCACTTGTCCTTGCTCAGCTTTCTTCATCTTTACAAATTTAGGAAGCCCTGAAATGCAAGATGGTTTACACTTTATTGAGAGCTTTAGATCCTGCACACCCATCAAAAAATGATACATTTTCAAACTTGCCTATAGAAGGTTTGATTCATGTTCAACCAGTAACCCAGTCTTACTGGATCCTGATCTTTTTCATGCCATGACACTGGGCATCCATCTTCACTCAGATACTGTCAAGAACTCTTTACTCATCCTGGAAATCCCTAGATATTAGCATATATTCCTTGAACCAACATCTGTCTGCCTGCCACACCATCCATAGTCCTAACCCCACGGCTGGAGCACCAATGAATGATCTGATCATTCCTCACCAGCTTCTGGGTGCTGCAGACAGCGGAAGTGAGCAGTGGTGTTCTCTCTCGCATGTCTTTTCTGATGTCGGCATGACCCATTCATTCAGCCTAGAATTGTACTAATTTTCCTTTTAGCTTCGATTTTAGTTTCACTTTGTTGAAACAGCTGATCACACTGTTAACTGCCACCGGGCTGGAGGCCACCAAGCGCCCCTCAGACATGCCTTTCCATGGACTGTGCTGAAGAGGGTCCTTCCTTCTGCTGTAGTGACAGGCATGTGGCCAGGGCAAACAAATAGTGGCATACCGATACTGCGCTTCTCTGCAATAAAAATAACAATGACTTGAATCTCAAAACAATCCTGCTGAGTGAAAGAGACCCGAAAAAAAGAGCATATGTTGTGTGTTTCCATTTGTACAAAATTCTAGAAAACTCAGACTAATCTTACAGTGATAGAAAACATCTGTGATGTTGGGGAGAGAGGGTTGGGAGGCAACCGCTAGAAAGAGTAATGAGGAAACTTCGGGGCTGATGGATTTGTTTATTATCTTGACTCCAGTGATGGTTTCACAGGTGCACGCTCGTGTCGAAATGCATCTGATCGTACACCTGAAATACGTCCTGCACTGCATGTCAATTATGCTTTGATAAAGCTGCTTTTGAAAGGCGTTAGAGTGCAGAGTGATAAATGACTCTGACTGGACGTAAATGAGACAAACAGCAGGTGCAACAGGAGTGTCATGGGGGAAACTAAGGTGACATGGTTGGGGAGGGCGGCGCGAGGTGCTGGGGCTTGCAGCGGACCTTGAAGGAGGAAGGATACGGTCAGAGGAGAGGTAAAGGTATTTTAGTTGAAGACATGGCAGTGTGCAAGGATAATGACAAGACTGGCCAATGGATGTTGGGTAGGAGTGTGGAACGGTTGGAGAAGGTGGTGGATCTGAATGATGTGGGTCCTCAGGTGGCAGGTTAAGAACTGTACAACTTGGGATGCGAAGAGAAGACCAGAGAGAGGACATAGCTGGGCCACATCCTGATGGGAAATCAGACACTTCAGGCGCCCTCGTGCGAATGACACTAAGTCACAGGAGTAAAGTTGAGGGTTGCAGTATCTGGGAAATCAGATTCCCCCCTCCTCCCACCACAGCCGGTGCAGTTGGGAGAAAATCCCCAACTCGTAGCTTCTCCTCCAGGAGGGAAGGGGGAGAATGGGACATGTGTCCAAAGTGTTGGCTTCCCAGGGGACTGGTCTGTGTCACCAACTCGGGGCACTGAGGGAATGGCAGTACACTTTGGGTGCCAAGTTTGGGGGCCAATGAGGACACAGGCAGCATCTCCACTTGTTACAGAACCAGGGAGACACTGTACTTCATGACATAAACAGGTCACAGAAAGACAAATACTGTAGGATTCCACTTACACAAAGAATCTAAAGTATTCAAACTCAGATAAACAAAATTTTGAATGTCGTGGCTGGGGCTGGGAAAAAGCAAGTGGAGAATTGTTGTCCACTGACTACAGAGTTTCAGCTTTGCAAGATGCGAAAGGTCTGGAGATCTGCTGCACTACAATGTGAATATAGTTAATACTACTGAACCGTACACTTAAAAATGACTAGGATAGTAAATTTTACGTTATGTATTTTTAACACAACTTAAAATTATTTGTATATTTTATATATACCTGTATATATATATATATATATATATATATTTGGGCAGTAGAAGACTAACTGAATTGATAAAAATTTTCTCAGTGTTTGTGTTTTTAAGTAAAACCTCATTCTGTTCTTTAGTTTGTCATTTACTACTTTGGATGATAATAAAGATGTTATGATTATTTAAAGTAAATTACTAGGGTTTGGAGTTCTTTAGTGTCACTACTTTTTTCCCCTGTCTTATTTCATAT